GGCCTGACAAACACTACACTTAAATGCAGGGAGCCCAGTAGAGTTTTTAGTTAGCACAAGCCACGAAAAACGACCACGAGTGAACTTGTCATGTGCATCCTCATACACATCATGGATGAGCTGTGCTAAATTGATGTCTAGTCGTCGACGCGGCCATTCAGATGGGCCAGCCTCATTGTTGTCAACCGGTGTCGTCGCAGACGCCTTCGCGAAGCTCATGTAGCCTGCTTGAGACAGACGTTGCACGCTTTGGTGGCGGCGGTGGGCTCACTGAGATGATGCGGGGCTGAACCAACTGTAGGTTCTTCATCCGTCACTATCGCAGTATCAGTTGGAGATGAGACTGCTGGTGCTGCTTCTTTCGGTGTGGGAATTGTATCAGGACTGGCGCGAGCCGCCTCTTCGAGTGCTAGCGAGCTAAGCAAAAAGTCTAACCCCGTTCTGACGTGAGGACCGTCATCATCCTCATCGCGTGTGGCGGCATCGGCCTGGAAATCCATCGCGGGGTCTGAGAAAGCTTGCCGAGCAGGAACTAGGGAGGTGGTGGTTGACAGCGTGTTGAAGCACGGGGTGGGATGAAACCCTAGCTCAAAACACAAGGCCCTTTACCCCTCCACGGGCCATCAATGAAAGGGATGTGGTTGTGTCAGAATCCCAACCACTTAGACTATTGGGATAAAAGGGCTTGTTAAGTAGCGGATCAGTGCGCCCATAACCCCCAGGACAACGAGCCTGTAACCCTTCCCTATGATCAATCGGGGATCACCAGTGGACCTCTGACACCCCCCCGTACTGGGATGCCCGAAGTGCACACACTGGGATTCGAACCTTCACACTGGGATGCCCGAGACCTTCGCTCTGATACCATGTCAGAATCCCAACCACTAGACCATTGGGATAAAAGGGCTTGTTAAGTAGCGGGTCAATGCGTCCATAACCCCCCAGGACAACGAGCCTGTAACCCTTCCCTAGGATCAACCGGGGATCACAAGTGGACCTCTGACATGTTGCCTAGCATGCACGGCAAGGACGAGGCGCTACTGCCGTGCACTGCTGTCATGTGTTTCGTGGCTGCAAAGTGGGGCAACGTGGTACTGGGAAAGTCCTTGTTGGCTCGAAAAGCTGCCAAAAGGACCAATCAGCACACAACCGCGCTGGTGTTTACGTAGGAAAAACCGCGGCGCAGGGCGGCCTCGCTGCCAAAACTTGAGTGTTGTCCCACATGTAGCGAGATTGACAGGACAATAGTCAAATGCAACCGCTAATCCCGGGTGTCGGCGCCAGCCCAGGTACATTGAATCAGAGTCGGTACGCGATTGTACTCTGATGGATCAGAGTACACTCCCGAAAAAAAACTTATTTATCAAACTTACCCTAAAAAAAAAAAAGTAGAAACATCAGAGCTGAGGCCCTAAAACAATCTGAACTTTCAGAGTCTCACGATAAAAAAAAAAGTTGAAATATCAGAGTTTTCCAACCAAATCAGATAAATTTCTCTGACTTCTGGGGGCCTGGTGAAGCACATCAACATCAGGTACTTTCTTCTGCGAGAGTTGCAGAGGCGTGGACAAGCTCGCTTGGACTTTGTGGAGTCTGCGGCCAACACTGCAGACATCTTCACCAAGGCTCTTCGGCCTTGTGACCACCACATGTGTTGTGTGCAGTTAGTGTTAAGAACTGAACTAGGAATGAATGATTGACTTAGGCAGGAAGGGGAGTACAAGTAGGGGAAACCTAACCCTAACGTGTTGTACTCAATATGAGTAACCCTACTATAGCCTAGAGATAGAATTACATTTTGACACATCCCCATAGGCAAAGTAGGGGATAGCAAACACAACAAGCGGTCACAATACCAGTCTGCAGAAGTGAACACAGCTCAGGGTGGATCACAAGGTCACCACTCATTCTGAGCACAAGCAAGTGGCCACAAGGCCAGTTCACATGCAGAGATATAAATAGCAAGGCTGTACACTGATCACAACCTAGCAAGAGGAAACATGCAGGTATAAAGATATATATCAGTGTACAACAAGAGCAAGTCAAGCAACCAGCAGGTGAGGCAGAGTGGGCACAAGCCCAAGAGCAGTGCAGAAACGCTGATGATCACCAGACCCAAGGGCCTTGGTGAAGACATCAGCAGTGTTGGCCCGAGGGGCCACATAAGCAAGGCACAGGTGACCACGCTGCTGCAGCTCACGTGCAAGGAAGTAGCGAAGAGGAATGTGCTTCGTTCTGTGCTCCAGTCTCTGCTCGCGACACAAGGAAAGCATTGCCTTGTTGTCGACATGCTATCAGAGCAGGTCGACCCTCCTGGGTCGATCCTGTGGGTGGTCCCATCCTATGCTTCCGCTGCTGTCCTGCCTATCGCACGCCCCGGGCGCGCGAAGTTTCCTGTCTGCCGCGCGCTCAGGGCGCGCGGCGTTTTTTCTTCTCGCCGCGCGCCCCGTCGCCCGTCACGGAGCCCCCGGGGACCCGCGCGTCGCCCCCCGTCGCCCGACACGGCCCGCGCGACCTGCGCCAGGCCCGCGCGCGGCCCGTACGGGCTACACCAGGACCGCGCGCGGCCCGTACGGGCTGCGCCAGGCCCGCGCGCGGGCCGTACGGGCTGCGCCAGGCCCGCGCGCGGCCCGGGCAGCCCGCACGCGGTTCGTCCCGCCTGCGCCAGGCCCGTGCGCGGCCCGTACGGTCTGCCCCAGTGCCGCACGCCGTCCCCCGAGCTTCTGACCGCGCCCCACCCCCGCTGCTGCCCGCGCTCCTGTGTTAGGGTTTGGGGGTGGAGAGTATGGGGGTGCCGGGTTTAGAGGGAGTCGAGAGAAGGCTACCCTGCAAGAAAGCTGTCGAGAAGTCGAGGGAGTGCAGCTCGTAGTCACGCTGGGCTGCAACGTGTAGCAACACCCGAAGAGTGGTCATCTTCGGGGTGGGGGAGAAGGTCTGAAAGAAGTCGACCCCCGCACGCTGACTGAAGCCTCGGGTCAACGGTTCTCTCAGCTCCACCTTCGGTTCTCGTCAACGAGAAGGTCTCGTTGAGAAAGACCCGTACATGAGAAGGTCTCGTTGACACAGGTTCTCGTCTTGTGTAGACTTTGCTTGTTTTTTTTTACACTTTGCATATACCTCTGTGAACTCTTGAACTGGCCTTGTGGCTCTATTGCTTGTGCTCGGACTGTGTGGTGACGTTGTGATCCACCCTGAGCTCTGTTTCTTTGTGACTGGTCTTGTGACTGTACGGTTTTGGTTTTGCTTGACACCCGTCACCTAGGCTATGTGGGTGTGTCAAATGTTGTGGCCTTTAGTGATGCGTGTCACATGGGGTACAGCAGTTAGGGTTAGGTTTATGTACCTTAACCCACAATAGTCCATCATTATTTTCAGATTCTGACACCAGGGCAGGGCCTTAGATTGGTTTTGGCCCTTATTTTGCTCTTTCCTTTCCGGTACCGTAATCTCCCGGCAATAAGCCCCCCCCCCCCCCCCCCCCCGCGTAGAGGCCCCCGGGTACTCTTTCCGGACTACGGGTCTTCTATTCGAGCTATTTCCGTGAGGACCCCCCTTTTTCATTTGTAGATTATAAGACCCTCCCTCTTGCTTAATTTAATCCAACATGATTTAAATAGTAACAAATTTGCGATGTTACGTGCGCATCGCGGAGACACGAAATGTTGGCGCGTTTCAGTTTCGTGTCAGAATGTGTCAGAATCGCCGCCAGGATTCGAATCCCAGGCGAATCCACCGTCAAGACTCGAATCCGCGCCATGTAACATTTTGAACATCCTCGATAAAACGCAATTTACCTGTGTCATGTGTGATTTGAATGTGTCTTATGGATTTTTAACATGTCCAGGGTCTTAATAAATCTGCCACTCTCTATTGTCCACCCAAGCATTATTTAAAAGCTTTTTTTAAAGACCCCCGGGGCTTATTGCCGGGAGATTACGGTAGTTTTTCAAAGCTAAGGGTACATTCTGCTCTGGACATGTCCCAATCTAAAGTGTCTGAATCGATTCTACCGCACTGCATCGTATTACACCAAATTACACCCTAGTTTCAAACATTGTCGAAATTTTCGCGTCTCTGGTTTAGTTCGGTTCGGAGCGGTACACTCGATTGGGACACTTTGTTTGGGACAGAGTCCAGTGCGGAATGTACCCTAAAAGTTTGTCTAAAATTGAGAGACTATGATACAACATACCAGCAAGCAAGTACACACATACGTATTCCCAGTTCTAGCACACACTAAATGGCAGCCCACCGTCACCCAAATTGATTCGTCTCCTCCGAGCGACCAATGCAGTTGCTCGCACCTCTGCTTCACCAGTCCCCGCCGCTCTGGCGTCCATGCCAGGTTCCCCCCTGCCCATCCAACTAGGGCCGCACGTTCTTCCCTTGTCCACCAGCCCCTAGTGGAAATGATCGTTCATGGTTGCAACGGGAGGGGCCAAATGGGGGGCAGGCAACAGCATAAGTCGTGAGATGAGACAAAAAGATGGCAGAGCGTGTCAGTGCAGGCCCGTTCCTCTTTGTGCAGCCGGCGTCACAATGGCAATAACACGACAAGTTACCATATATAAAATACGAGAAGTTGATCCATTCTTGTTGGCAACAAACAACAAGGCACTTACGAGGAGGAGCAACCCGGCAGAGCTTCTTGGCTGCGTTGAACACGAGGCCGTCGGGGCACTGGCACTGCGGCTTCCCCCTCTTCACAACACACTCAGCAGCCCCACAATCATTGTCACACATGGCTGTTGTGAGCACCAATCGAGGCATGCAAAGAAAGAGGATGGCTTTCAGGCATACGGAGGCGAAAAAAAGAATCACAGACAGAGTTGGGTGTGGGTCTCGTTCTCTCTTTCAGTATCTCTCCCGTGTCATTGATTGTCAGAATGAGCAAGCACATTCTAGCGTGTTTGGAGATCATCTCTAATCTAATGTGCACGTGACACAATTTAGATGAAGTAAAAATAACCCGGATGTAACATGCATGCGCTCGCACTTACTGATCTCGCAGCCAACTGATAGCAGCGAAGCAATTCCATTGACAGTCCTGAGAGAGGGATAGGTCAGGATAGGGAAGACCAATGGTGAGGGCGAGTTACGACATGCGCCCCATTCACGTTACAACTGCGACGAGAAAGCAATCTTTGGTGATAGAAGAGCGTTGTACTATGTGCTGGAAGCACAGCGGAATATATCACACAAGCGGTGTGCATCACGTCACGCTCACTCACTTTTTCGTCACGGGGTAGGAACTGCCCTTCTTCGCAGGACGTGCGATTGTGAAGTCCAGCTTCTCCTTGCAGTCCCAGTCGGCGTAGAACGACACGCTCTTGCACATGGCTTTGCCAAGCGCAAGGCTGTCAGGCGCGGCGCGCTTGGTGTTCCACATGACGGTTATGTTGGTGGTGCCCTTGAGCACGGTGTACAGGTTGCCGCACGCGCTGGTGCCACTGGCCTGCTCTGCCGGCAGCGCCGTCAGGAAGGTGGCGTCCCTCTGGCCCGCGAAGCTGTTGCCACTTGCCTGCACTCCCACTGTCGTCCGCACCAACGGGGCTGACCAGCCGTTGAGACCGTTGATGCGATGAGGATGGTCGAGTTGGAGGCAGGACAGGGGAGAGGAGGGGACGGGGGCAGACAGGGGGGGAGGTGCGGGAGGAGTGAGGAGGGGTGAACGTTCCAAGCGTTGCCTCTCAGGGGCGCCTCTCAGTGCAGCCTGCTGACACGCTGAGATGCTAAAATGCGAGTGCCTCAAGAAATGTAGTGTATACAGCTCAGCACTGCAGCACTCACCAAAGCACGTCTTGTCAGCCTCGTTGAAGTAGAACCCTTGCTTGTTGCAATCGCACACCGATTCAGTGTAAGTGAGAGCAAAGCAGTGAGCCTGTAACCCACACTCCACGCCGGTGCACGGGTCTGCAGAGGAAGTTATGAGGTGAAGCAGGGAAAGCGGGTTGAATGAGTGAAACGGCTTATGATTGTGAACTCACCCACACATGCGCGCACTCACCCACACACCAGCACTCACCCACATGCACTCACTCACCCACACACCAGCACTCACCCACATGCACTCACTCACCCACACACCAGCACTCACCCACATGCACTCACTCACCCACACACCAGCACTCACCCACATGCACTCACTCACCCACACACCAGCACTCACCCACATGCGCGCACTCGGTCACACACCAGCACTCACCCAGCACACACATCTTGTGCTCAGAGTCGAAGTTATAACCATCCTTGCACACGCACACGGGCGTGTCACCCACATCAATAGTGCACGTAGCTTCCCCACAATCCTTGCTGGCACACGGGTCTGCACAGAAATCGTGATTGTTTCAAGTAAGGGCGAAGAAGCACGCACAGCGGCAGCGCAGAAGCAAGGTAGGGAAAGGGAGTTAAAAACAAGATAAATTCTGATGCGTACCGCCCAACCGCACTCCAGCTCTCAAGCACACGCCAGCACTACAAGCCTACTGCCAGTGGCGTGTGTGGCAGCCAGCCTACCCACCCTTTCCAGCGGCGCTGGCGTGGGTCGCGAGGAAGCTGATGGCAACGAGACCCGCGACGAGTGCGGCGAGGCCACACAGGCCGGACAGGCGCGCGCAGGGCTTCATGGCGACAGCGGAGCAGGGAACGGGAAGACGTCTTCGGGATCGCGAGAAGTTTCTAGTCAGGGCCGAAATTGTCGTTGATAGTGGCGACGAGGTAAGATTGGGTGCGACTGAGAAGGAGACGAAGGCACGCAATGAGCGAAGAGCGGAGGGAGAATGCGATTGAGCCCTCGGGGCCACAATGTATGTTTTGCGACTGGTCACTCGCAAACATTGATTTATTCTTCTTCGTTATTGACCAATCAGCTTGCAGACTCGCGGATCACGTAATGGGTTCGTCGCGAAAGTGGGGAGGCGCAGCAGGCCGAGGGAGGAGAGGGGAGTGGAAACGAGTCAGGGAGATCGGCGCTGCGCTGAGGCCTTGATTCGTGCATTCGCTCGACCTTAGGACTAGGCGGCGATGGTGTTGGCGCAGCGAGGAGTCGATTGAGTTGGTGACTGTCGGCATGATGCGCACAAGGGGGGAGGCGCGAATTGAGGACGAGGGGACGGCGATGACGGGAGGAAAGCGTAGGGAAGGCGCTCAGCGTGCAGCTAGTGAACGCGATCCAAACTCCGCGGCGGGGCGCAATGGCAGAAAAGGTTCCGCCTCTAGTAACAGCAGCGTGATCGAGCACACCAGGGTTGGGCGTGAACTGCGGGACTTGCGGGGAGTGAAGGACGAACGCGTTACTACCAAACCGTCACCAGATTCCGTCTCCTTCTAACTTATTGTTAACTTTATAGTGCTACACACATAGACATAAATACACCGAGCTTCACCGTTGGTATGTTCATCCATAATCCGCACACTCGCCATCGAAATTGCTAAAGCCGAACGCGTTTGTTTGGCGTGGAACTCGAGTTCGTTTAAGATGGTAACATTATGGTGTGCAACGGTCTGAAGCGGTATATCCTAAATACTGCGCCCAGACGTAACTGAACAAATCAACCGTATTCAACCTTGTCACTCCAACCCGCAGCAAAAAAAATATCAAACGCGTTCATGTCTTGAGTAGAACTCTCCCTTCCGCAAGTCTCGCAGTTGATCCAATGAGTCTGTGCGGTATGCGCAAGCGCACAACAGTACTCGAGGCGGAAGCCATTCTGCCTTGCGCCCTCCGCGATTCCCGCTTTATGTTGCTAGCTAGCTATCGCGTTCACCAGGCGCACGCTGGAAGCTCTCCCTGACGCTTTCCGGAGGGCCTCACGTCGCTCCCGCCATTGCCGCCCGCGTCGGTCACTTCTCTCGCGTTCCTCCCCCCTGCGGCCATCATGGCGGGAATCGTTAATACACCCCCCACTGACTCCTGCCCGTTGCGCCAACACGATCGCCCAGGACTAGGTCCGCACGGCAGAGGCCGCATCATCCTAGGGTTGAGCGATCCCAAGGCAAACGTTGCTGGGCTCGGCGCAGCGGCGATCCCCCTAAGCACACCCCTTGATGCGCACGGCCGCTGCGGCGTGCCTCATTTCTCCGCGATGGCACACGTTGGATTATCCGCCGAGAGAGGGGGCGCGCGAGAGTTATCGACCACTCACTCTCAGCACATAAATCGGCGCCCGCTTTCGAGTCCTCACTCACAATTGTCGCTTGCATTGCGTGCCTCTCCATCTCGTCTCCTCCCTTCTGGCATTGAGTCGCACCTTCGAGATCGTTCCTATCCTCACCAGCCAGCACTTGCAAAGCCGCCAGCCACTGCCGTCGCGACACCAGCGACGTGGGCCGCGGCACGGCACAACTTGGACGTGAAAGAATTCGAGACTCTTCGCCATCGCGCCGTTGATCACCAATCCCATCTCCCCATTTTCCCCGCGCGCCGTGATCGCTACGCCGTACGCTGTCGCCATGAAGCCCTGCGCGCGCCTGTCCGGCCTGTGTGGCCTCGCCGCACTCGTCGCGGGTGTCGTTGCCATCAGCTTCCTCGCGACCCACGCCAGCGCTGTTGATGCTGGTGAGTCGGCTGACTGCTGATGGAGCACCATGGCACCACCACGGCACCACCACGGCACCACCACGGCACCACCATCGCATCCAAATCAAGGGATGCTCACTCGTGCTTCCCACCCTCTTCCTCCCACCATCGTCTTCTCACCCTTAAACTCCTAATCCAAATTGCTTCTCTTCTCCTGTTTCTCACGCCCGAGCATCGGTCCAAACTGCGTGCTTGAACCAAAAGGTTCGCGGGCGAGTGCAAGGTCATAAGAATTTACCCTTTTTTTTTCCTTCTTCAAACCCCTTGCTCACCCCTGCTGCATTTCGATCGGAACGTGCGTGGAGTCGCTCTGCAGACCCGTGCGCCGGCATCGACTGCGGTTCCAGTGCGTCCTGCATGCTGCGGGCTGATGGCACTGCTGACTGCTTGTGCGAGGATGGTTCTGCCTTCAACAAAACGGACAAGACATGCTACGGTGAGAGGTGGAGAGCGCGTGAGTGCACGTGCACCACGCATGGCATGCGAGTGAGATGAGTGCAGTGCACCACGCATGGCATGAGTGAGATGAGTGCAGTGCACCACGCATGGCATGCGAGTGAGATGAGTGCAGTGCACCACGCATGGCATGCGAGTGAGATGAGTGCAGTGCACCACGCATGGCATGCGAGTGAGCCAAATGTGTATGTTATCAGTGAGTTGAGCTCTCACGCATTCAAGCACGCATTTAGAAAGAAAGAGCCGATTTCAAGAGGGGCCTTTTCTTTCTTCCTTGATAGCCGTCTCCGTTCCTTTCTTCTCCTCCCTCGCTTCCCACTCGCATGCATGCTCACCCTTCTTTTCTATTGTTCATGCTTCTTTTCACCCTGTTTTCCTAATGCTCTTGCTTCTTGCTGTTTTGCTTCTCACCTTCTGCAGTCTCACCTCTTGTTCCCTCGCTCAGTGTGCTTTGAACAAAGGGTTCGTGGGCGAGTGTGGTTGATAGCGCGAGGGTGGTTGAGTGCGCTAGTGTATGTTCGTAAACAAAATCCCTCTTTTTTTTCCGAAATTCAACCCCCTTCCCTCCTGTACTCGGGAACGTCCAAAAACCCCCCTCCCCTTGCAGACGCGTGTAGCAAAGTGGATTGCGGGCCAAGTGCTTCTTGCGTGCAGGAGTCTTCTGATCCCAACAGCCCTCCTGAATGCGTGTGCAATGATAATAAAGCCTTCAACAAAGCGGACAAGACATGCTACGGTGAGTGGTGGAGAGCGAGTGAGTGCATTGTGCACGCATGGCATGGAAGTGAGCCAAGTGTGGTATAGGCTGAGTGGTTGAGTATCATCAGTGAGTTGTGCTTTCAGAAGGAAAGAGCCCCTACGCTAGACTCAGCTATCTTTTTCATTCGTTGTCTCCATTTCCCCTAGCTCACTGAAGTGCGAATGAGTGTGCGGGTGGGGGCGAGTGTGCGGGTGGGGGCGAGTGTGCGGGTGGGGGCGAGTGTGCGAAGGGGGGTGAGTGCGAGGGGGTGTTAGTGCTTGAGGGAAGGTGAGTGTGCGAGGGGGGATGAGTTCACAATCATAGGAAACGAGATTCCATTCGTCTAACTAAGCCCATTGCCCTGCTCACCTACTCACCTTGGGAACACCCATGACATTCTCTGCAGACGCGTGTGTGGTCTCTGGCAAGGAGTGTGGCTCCGATGCAACCTGCGTTGCGTATCGCAACTACGATCCCGAGTGCCAGTGCAACAAGGCCGATATGATCTTCAACGAGCCTGCCAAGACGTGCTTTGGTAAGTGCCGCACTTCTGATCCGTAGACACCACTTATTCTTGCACAAACACATTCCTGCAGAGAGGCATGGTTGAGCTGTTTTCGTCTCCTCACTCCCTCCGCGCCTTCCTCCCTGTCTGCCCTCGTCCGCTTCTTCTCCCTGTCCCACCTCAACTCAACGTCTTCAAACCCCCATCATCCCCACCTTTGCCGGCCGCTCCGGCATCGTGGCATCAATCAATCATCGCGCCAACGGCCTTAACGGCCGCTCAGGCCCCTTGGTGCGGACGGCGGTGCAGCTGAGTGGGCGCAACATCAAGAAGCAGCTCACCTTCTCCACCTCGGTGCCGGCAGAGCAGGCCAGCGGCACCACCGTGTGCGCCAGCAGAGACCTCAGCCAGCATTGGCGGCGCTCAGATCACCGTCACGTGGGATGCCCCGAAGCTCCGAAGCTCTGATCCCTTGAGCCCCGAAGCGCTTGGCAACGGCATGTGCAAGAGCCTGACGTTCTACTCCGGCCGGCGTTGCACGGGCCAGCCGGGGCTGACGATCGCACGCCCTGCGAGGAAGGGCCGTTCCTACCCCGCCACGAAAAGGTGTGTGAGCGTGATGCACGGCACATGGTGTGAGCGTGATGCACACCACATTGTATGTCCGCATGATGCATGCCATGTAAAGTGTGAATGGAGTGACTGTCGTGATTTGTCCTCATGTTTCGTCTTCCCCATCCTTACCTCTCCCTCTCTCAGGCCTGTCAAGGCAACGTATTCACCGCAGTCAGTTGGCTGCAATCTCAGTAAGTGCGAGTGCAAGCACGTCCTGAGGTTTACATCTTTCTACCTTAAGTTTGCCATGTGCATAACACAGAAGGTCTCCGTACATGCTATCACGTATTTTACTCATTCTGACAGACACCCAACCTCTTCCACACAATTCTCGTTTTTGCTTCCCTGTGCCTGAAAGCCTTTGCTTTTGACCCCTTGTCTTTGCATGCCTGCATTGTTAACCCCCCTCTGGTGCCCACAACAGCCACGTGTCACAAGGATTGTGGAGCTGCTGAGTGCGTTGTGAAGGACGGCCAGCAGCAGTGCCAGTGCCCCGAGGGCCTCGTCTTCAACGCAGCCAAGAAGCTCTGCCGCGACCCGTTTCCTACTCGTAAGTCCGGGCAGAAAGGAAGAGAGAATCAGCCGGGCAGCTTCTAACGTATGCAGTTAGAAAAGCGATTGCCAGTGTGATGCTTGCTACAACAAGAGGACCGGGCTGTGCACTGGTGAGCTGTGCACTGGTGAGCTGTGCACTGGTGAGCTGTGCACTGGTGAGCCGACCAGGGCTTGCTTCAATGACTGGTTAACAAGATAGCGAGAGGCTAAGAGGTCAAGAGGGCAAGAGGGCAAAAGGTGAAGAGGCAGTCCAGCTTTCAAGAGGCAGTCCAGCTTTCAAGAGGCAGTCCAGCTTTCAAGAGGCAGTCCAGCTTTCAAGAGGCAGTCCAGCTTTCAAGAGGCAGTGCAGCTTTCAAGAGACAGTGCTTCATGTGAGTCGAGCTGGAGTGCTTGTGGTGCTTTTGTTTCATTACCACTCCCCCCTTCCAAGCCATTCCCTCTCATTCTCCCAACCTGCTGCCCCACTCAGCCCCATGCTCTTTCCCCTCTCCCTCAACCCCTCACCTCCCAACGACGCCAGCCAAGTGCAACCCTGCGTGCACTGCTGATGCCCAGTGCACGTACGTGGGGGGAAAGTCAGAGTGCCAGTTCCCAGGCTGAAGAAGATCAAGTGCACAGGTAGGGAAGAGAGGGAAATGCATGATCTGCTTTATTAAGGAGGGCAGGCCGCTGTGCCAGTGCCCCCCGGGAGCCACAGTGCAAGTGCCGAGAAGCTTTGCCGCTATGTTTCTTCGCCATCTGTTGCACGTTTGCCAACAAGAAAGAATCAACTTTTCATGTCTATGATAGCGTCTCTTGTATTCGCCAGTGTGCCGGTTACACCAAGAGGAGCAGGCCTGCACTGGTGGGCATCTTTCTGACTCCTCGCGCATTTTGTGCTGTGGCCTGCCCTGCCCTCCGTTTACCCCTTCGCTTTTGCAACTATGGACACTATGCAGGGGTCAGTGGAGAAGCGAAGAACGGGTGACCCTAGTTGGATGGGCAGGGGTTGGAGGCGCACGCTGGCAGCGCCAGCCAGAGGGACATTAGATCGGCAGGGGTTGGTGGAGCAGGGCAGAGATGCAAGCAACTGCATGCGGTTGCTCGGAGGCCAGGAACCAACTTACCGTATCGCCCCGGATATAGGCGCCGTCCGATTATAGGCGCCGGCGCCTCTATCTGGAGCATGGCGCTTATGGCCGGATCTCGATTAGAAGCGCCCCCCCTGAGATTTCTGTACTTTTTATAAGCGCCACCCTTTCACTTTTTAAGAAACTATTACATTGAAATCACTTACATGACAGTTCTAGACAGCAGCTACAACATCAGAGACCCGAAACAGCAAGTATAGCCGGGGTACTTCTACCTAACAAGTCTCCTCATCGTCAGATTCGGGCTCCTGGCAGTTGTTGCCAAAAAACCCATCAGCGATGATGTCATCGTCGACATCCACTTCCGCGTTAAGCTGGCTCCGCCTGTGCGCCATGGCGAGGCCGTCCTCACTGCCGTCTAGCGCGTTGCTGATGCCACAGGTGAGGAAGGATCGCTTTATCAGCTCGGCCGGCACTGACTTCCAGGCCTGAGATATCCACCTCAGGACGACCTCCACCGGAGGCTTCTTCAAGTTCCCTGAAACATTACGGGAGAACGGTGGAAACCCGTTAGTCCAACAACAAAAGATAAGCAAGGGGAGGGGGGGGGAAACACAATACCGTGCTAATTCCATACCTGCTGCCGTCAGCTGCTCTTGACCTTCTGCCTCAAACCACCTCTGGTACTGCTGGCGGACCGACGCTTTAAAGCTCTTGTTGATGGAGACATCGAGCGGCTGTACCTCCGCCGTACAGCCCGACGGGATGATTGCCGGCACGCAGTTCATCTCGCGGAGCTTGTCCTTCACTTCCTGGGTGAGGTGACCGCGGTAAGAGTCCAGCACCAGCATCGAGCTCTTGGCGTGTCGGCCGAACTTGGGCTTCAAGAAAGGCTTGACGCCCTCCTCAAGCCAGCGAACGACGCCCGCGGAGTCCATCCACCCGTTCTCGTGTGCAGCCACGACCACATCTGCAGGAAACATGTACGAGCAGTTAGAATTCGCAGTCGGAACAGACCACAGATAACGAGCAGTGCACCTACTGACTTACCGGGTGGGAAATTGCCCTTAGGCACGGTCTTGCGCTTGAAGTACACCCACGGCTTCAGCTTCAATCCGTCCGCCGTGCACGCCAACATCACGGTCACACGCTGCTTCTGATACCCCGCGCTCCTGATAGGCACAGAGCGAACACCCGTTTCATCCACGGTGGTGGTGGCGGGCATCTCCAGCCAGAGCGGCGTCTGGTCCGCGTTGATGATCCACGCGGTGTCGATGCCGCGCATACGACGCATGGCACGCACGAACTTCCAGAAGCTCTTGCACTGCTCGGCGACATCTGAAGGGCGGTGGAAGGGAGGACGGACACAGATGGCGGGTGTTAGTACAACAATAAAAAAATCACAGGGCAAAGTTCACGGGGTAACTCTTACGCGCGGCGGTTTTCTGGGCAACCCGGGTCTTCATGCGGACGCTGAGATTCCATCAACGCCGAAAGCGCTGCGACCACCTCTGGCTTCCTTTCCATGGCTTGTCCGGGTACAGCAGCCTCATGTACTCCCGCGACCACTCCTGCAGGCGGCCGACTGATACGGCGGTTCCCTTGCAGCGCCACTCGAGAAGTTTCTCGTACACCTTCAACTCCATAGGCCGGTACCACGACGCTCGCCCGCGGCCGTGCATGCGCATCCGAGCGGAGTGCACGTCCTTGAGGAACTCCGCCGCCCGCTTCCAGTTGGTGAGGCACTTGGGGTGGATTCCGCTCTCGCGAGCCAAGGAGCGCACCGACACCGCCACATCAAGCTTGGCAACCCACTTCAACTTCTCCGCGGCGGTGTAACCTTGCCTCTTGTGGTCGGTGAGCTTGTGCCTGGGAGAGGGGGGGCGGGCATCACGGTTCTGGGAAGAGGGGTGGGGTCGCTTGCGATTGATCGGGGGATAGGAAGGTATCGGCAAGGTCTCGGGAAGCCCGTCGCGAGACCAGTACTCCACGCCGTCGCCGGCATCGTCGCCGGGAACGCCTTCTGGAGAAACATCTTCAGCGGAGCCGCCCTCGGCGCCGCCCCCGGCGCTCGCCTCCGTGCCACCCTCGCCGCCGTAAGCGCCGCTCGCTTCCTCAGCGTCAGCGTCAGCTTCCTCAGCAACATCGTCGTCGGCGCCGACTGCAGATTCGTCCCACGGGCAATCGTCAGGCTGTCCCCACCGTGAACCAGGCACGTACTCCACTTCCACGTACTCATCTTGCGCCTTGTTAGACTCCGGTTCGGAGAGGTATTCGTCAAACGCCGATGGGAGCAGCAGCGTGAGCACGGGCTCAGCTCCAGCGTGTAGCGGAGGCACAGGACCCTGAGTACACGGAGGAACAGGAGGAACAGGAGGCTCAGGAGGTGCAGGAGGCGAAGGAGGAGCAGGAGGCGCAGGAGGCGCAGGAGGCTGTGGTGGCTCTGGTGGTGATGGTGGGACACGGGAGTACCACCCGTCTGCGTCTACTCTAAACGCGGGCCTGCGCGTAGGCTTTTTCTTGAACAAGAAGTGCGTGCCGCTGAATTCCGCCATGGCTTCCGCAGCATGGTGAGAGTGACCAAGAACCAAGAACGGGAAACTGAAAGAATGGATGAACAAATGAAGGATTCAAAGGGACCCCTTCTGGCTAGCGCCACGGGGTCCTCGTCGTGGAGAGACGGGTGTCCCCTGTCTGAACCCGGAGAGGAGGGTATCGCGCCATGCACGATGCTGCGCTGGCAGGGCATTCCAGCCGCTTCTAGATGCTTCGGGTGAATTGCAGCTGCCACCCAGCGCATGGAAACCTGATTGGGCCGCAAGGCAACTTTCACGTCAGCGCTGGCAGGTGCGTTGCTCCTGGACGGGCTTTGTGCGGCTGGAAACCGAAGCGCGGCAGTTTTCGGCGGGTTTTCATGCATGATTCCACGCGCACGTTACACAATCTTGTTCGCCTTATTACGGGCTTCGATTTGATACAAAAAAAAAAAACAAATTCATTTTTACCATGATATAAGCGCCGGCGATTATGGCCGTTATTCAATTACAAGCGCCACCCCTAAAAAAACCGATTTTATTATAAGCGCCGTGGCGCTTATATCCGGGGTTAGAAGGTAGGTTGACGGTTGGCTGAGTCGTTTAGTGTGCACTAGGAATGAGATTACATGCTTGCTGGTTTGTGTTGTGATACCGTAAAGTCTGGCTCTAGAAATCACCTTGGTAAGTAAGTAGTAAAACTCTACTTTGTGTAACCCAATATCTTGGTTGGTCTGTACGTGATCACCCCCCAATACTGAACGCCTGTGGTATTTGTGGATATGAGGTGCTGTGCTCTATAAAGGCGTTTCTTGATACCAATACCCCCTTTTCTTGCTTGTAAATTATTACCGTATAACACCAGGGCAAATTTTATCAGTGTAAATCACCCTGATACCCTGATTATCAGGGTGGTTTTTTGTAGTCACACTGATGGCCTAGGGTAATTTTTCGGGAGCAATAATTTTCCTGATATGCCAGGGTTTACATTTAAGGCACACTGATGACTCAGGGTTACCGATTTCATAACGAGTTTTACCCTGAAACGAGTACAATTCGCCTTCGCAGGCTTTCCGACTTGATAACACATATAAATTATGGAGCATGTTGGAGTTCTCAGTTGGTAGATTGGGACTTCGGATGTATGAAGACTCGGGATCGAGTCTTGTAGCTCGTATTTTTGTTCAGAACTTCAGTAGAAACCCTATCAAGGTGTTGAAAATTGTAACTATGGAAAACCCTGATGGAAAATAATTTTCCCAAGGGGTCACACTGATAATCAGTTTTTTGCAAAGGTGCAGGACTGATGATAAGGGTTGCTTAAAACAAAAAATTAGCCCTGTATAACACCCCCCTTCCTCTATAAAACAACGATTTTCCTACAAATTAGC